GGAAACAAAACTTCCAGAACACGGCCACACAGCCCGGAAGACCCACACCAGCCATTATTTTTTTCTGCTGGTCACAGTGAATTTTTTAAATCTTTAATCATATTATTATCAAGGAAACAATATAGACATACCTATGCTGTCACCAGGAGCTGAGCTCAATTGAAGGGTGTCTCTCCTCTTTAGTACTATTGCAGAAATAATAGGTAGATGTGCCTTAATTTGTTTCATAGAATGAAATGAGGACAATACCATTGTACCAAGCCAGTCCTGGCTTTGCTTGTGACTGCTACATTACGCATGAGTAAACCTCTTTTGTGAACCACACGTGTCACGGGAGTTTCTCTGTCAAACGGGGCAAACCTTACAAGAATGGTCTCTTCTCAATGGAATCCTTTCTGTTTTCTTAGGCTGTCTACATGTTCTATGCTTTGGCTATTATCTGTGATGATTTCTTTGTTCCTTCGTTGGAAAAAATTTGTGAAGTAAGTATCTGCTAAAAATAGTTTTCCATATTTATTAAAATGTATACACTATCATGTTTTACATTTAATCATATTTAATGTAAATTGTAGCCTTGACCATTAGTACTTCCCAATAAATGTTATTGATAGTGGTTTATGGTCTCTAAATGTGGAGGTCAAGGCTAATAGATGTGGAGAAATTTTCTCCATTCTGAGTCTAATTCCTTTTAAATGTCCTCTAGCATATTGGACTTTAAGGCTGTGCAGTTCAGTTCAGTTTCAAAGCTGAAAGTTGCTTTGTAGCACCTGAAGAATGAATGTAGCACCTGCCAGTAACTCATTAAAATACCCACATCTGTTACCAGGAGCACATGTTCTGATATGGAAAAAGACACCGCTGGTTTAATGAGTGACCAACAGGTGCTGTGTTTGCATTTCTGCATGCTGCAAGAGAACTTTTCAGAATTGAATCTGAAGCATTGCAGAACTCATGAACATGTGGAAGGGAATTCCATAAGTGCATGAAGTGCACCTTTCCCTATTCTAAGTTTTCTAAATGAAAAAGCCACAAATTTCATAGAAAGGTTTTCCAAGTTCCATGTCATTTTATTTGTCCCCCTTTGGTACTTTTTCCAAACTGACATGTATTTTTGAAATGGAGTTACTAAAGTGGTACTGTACACAGTATTCCAAACACGGTTGTGCCATTAAATGACTGTAATACTCTTAAAGTACCAGCAGTTCCATATCTGCTCCTCTCCATGCTCTTTCCAAATAACTCCCAGCAGGGAATTAGCCTTTTCAAAAGCTGTTACACACTTAAATTGTACAAGGATTGTGATTAGGTCGTCTATAAAGCCTGACATTAGAAAGTGTTTATAAAAAATATGAGCTATATCCAACAGTGTAATTCTGCTGGGACATTTTTAACTGGATGATATGTTTGTTTGCCTTGGTCTGTCCTGAACTGTTTAAATTTAAAAAGTCCCATGGGGAAGATTTTCATTTCTCTTATAATTTTATTTGCCTTTTTCTGTATCTTTTTTTGAAGTCCAACATTTACAGTACTTCAATATTTTAAACTTATTCCAAGGCTTAAACAACCCTTTTATTTTATTCCTAGTCTAACACCACCCCTATCCTCATACCACTTTTTTAAAAAATGATTTGCCACCAGGTCACAGTGACCCAGTCAAGGGCTCCAAGAATTTTTTTAAAAAGTGGTTTGCAAGGCCCATGACTGTAGGTTGTTCGTTGCTGCTTAAAGGAAATTCAGTCTCATCCAGAATCATACAGGATTATTGTTTTAAGGAAAAGCATATTACAAATTTTTAAAAAATAAATATAATATTGGGCCCTTGTACAAACCTTCTGATAATAAAGCTTTCTGTATCTGTTTCATCCCAAACCTAAAAATTCCTAAAGACAACTTTACTAGTCTAAAACATATGCAAAGCTGAGATTGGTAGGATCTGCCATTCAGTAGGGCAAAGCAGAAATAGAATAATAATATTTATGAAACAGATAAGAGATAACCAAGCCAAACATTGCCACTTCTCACATCAGTAGTACAACTAGCCTAGGGAAAAATGCGTCCACAGTCATCAGTCTAGATTTGTGATGCTGATGTTACAGGAATAGCACATGCATGAGGAAGATGGCTCAGCCAATTCTGGAATCCAGCCCTTGACACAAGACATCCTTACTCAGACAGGTACTAGGTGCCCTTTACTTCTCATCTAATACTTGATTGATATGATAGTTGCTTCCTTTTATTGAGATGGTTTAATTACAATTTAAATGTTTTACTTATCATTTTTTTTATGGCCACCTGCCTTGAGAAGCATTAAAACAGGATATAAAGTCATATCCATCAATCAGTGAATTTTCTCCTCTCTCCACAGCGCTTGCACCTCAGTGAAGATGTGGCAGGGGCAACCTTCATGGCAGCTGGCAGCTCTGCTCCGGAGCTGTTTACATCTGTGATAGGTAACTAAACCACTAACTTTTTGCTGTCATTTGTGAAAATAAGCATCACTATTTATAGCCATGTTCCCGATTTGCCAAAATACACGTCTCTCTGAAACTAGCCAATGCTGATGAAGGAGCGAACCTTTGTGCCAGAAAAAGTAACAGAATGATTTGGGGGAGGTCTTTTTTGTCCTATAGGCAAGCAGGTGGAGTCTTGCCACAACGCCAACAGCGTTCAGCATCTGTGAAAATGCATGGTTTTTAGCAGAAGAGTGTTAACTCAGGAAAAGACTATATTTGGAACAACCCCAAAAATGCCCAGACTGAGGACCATTAATTAGTGCATACTACTGTGCTTTCAATGGCTAGCTCTGCTGTTAGGTTACATTCATTACTCAGCTGATGATTACTTTGATATGTGAAGTTTGAAATGTGGTCAGAAGCCAGCTCATGAAAGTGGTCAAGCAATAACATAGCACATGCCTTGCATTCATGACGTTCCTGGCATTTCTGAATGGGATGCTGAGAAGCACCTCTGCCTGAAGTGCAAGCGAGATGAACAGAACTGACTTAGAATGCTGTTTCTTTTATTTCATTGGAGGTAAGTGAACTGCATTGAAAGGGCAGTTGAATCGAACAGCATAATTACTTTTAATGGGAGTCATCTGAACATGTAACAGATGAGAAGGCCAGATTGTTTGGTTGCTACTAAGCAAGAATACGGAGAAAATATTATAATGCCCACCACCAGCAGTGTTCTGAAAGAGGGGACTCTGCAGCTCTTGGAGGCCTTACATTCCAGTGTGTGATTTTGGGAAGGATGAATCAGGTGAGGGGAACTCAGCTCTTCTAGGCTTTCTCACGGTAGATTTGACTGGTGCGTCGCCTTCGGTGTGGTCACGAAGAGAGAGAAGCCAGAGCAGCAGGCAGAGCTGCTAGACGCCTTTATGGAATGTTTGCACAGAACTCCTTGCCAAATCTCCTGCCAAGCAGGAAGCAGCGCACTTAGGGCAGGGGTTGTCGCTGCAGTGAAATATGCAGCTAGAACAACCTGTCCAGCATTCTTAGGTCTATACCAAAAATTCCAGTTCATGTCAATCAAATGTGCAGTTTAAAAAATGTGAGACTTTTCTCCTGCAGTCTTTGTATCATGCTTTATATGGAGAAAATGAAATAATTTCTGAGCAATCTTTTATGCAGGTTGCCCTGAATATATATTCAGGCACCACCCAAACCTAAGAAGCCTTTTACAGATTACTGTATTCCTAACAGGAAAACAAGGTAGACTGGAAATGGGGAAAGTCACATTTTTAAGAGCTTATTTGCAAGAACAGCTAGAATGGCTGGGAGCAGGACTTAACTCTCCCTAACTTTGCCTCCTCCATCTGATTAAAAAATGCAGGTGGCAGCCTATTCTGCCATCTCACTTTGAGACACATCTTGATTAGGGCTGTATGGGTTTTAATCAACGTTGAGAAATTTTTGCATAAAGGTGGTTGTCCTTCACTTGATTTATCATGCAGAAATCACGTCTGGCTACACTTTTAATTCCACATATGTTCTCTGCTTTAATCACAGTTCTAATTCATGGTAGGGAATCGTGCCTGTCTTTGGATAATACACTGAAATTATCTCCCACCCCCCAGGTGTGTTTATCACAAAAGGAGATGTAGGTGTTGGGACCATTGTTGGCTCTGCAGTATTCAACATCCTCTGCATAATTGGGGTTTGTGGCCTATTTGCGGGGCAGGTAAGGTAATTAATTGGATTCAAAAATGTTTCTAAAACTTATTTTAACCTGTACAGAATGAGAATAATATGTCTAGAAATCATTTGTCTCTGCTCTCTGCAGAACCGCTATCGAAATATCACTTTAGGAAGGTGGGAATTGCTTCACATATAGGTATTATTTTTTTTATATTTCAAGGAACCCAGTAGGTTCCTGGGTTCTCTGCATAGTAGAACCTTTTAGCGGAGTTTAAGGATTTGATTTTCACAATTATTTGAAAGTGAAACTTAAACCGAAATACCACACATACAGTACTTCTGGAACAACATTATTTTTGGAGATGGCAAACCACTTCCACATTGCTACCATGAAAACTATGTGGATATATCCATATAGTTATCAGGAGGAAATTATTTATAAGGGGAAGGGTACCCTTTTGTTCAGCCACAAGTTTGCTTATCTTTGGATCAATATATGTTAATAATATAAGTAAGCAACTTTTTTTCCTATGCATTGCCAGAAATAAATAGTTGAGAGATATGAAGAGGATCTTCCATAAAATGGACTTTTGGATCTCATAGAATGGGCTTCTGAAGAAGAATTTACTTATTTTACAAATTAAATAATGGCTTGTAGGATTTCCTAGAAATTTTTGCCCTTGGGGACAAATCAGTTATCATTGTCCATAGACCACTGTGAACTGTGCTGGCATTTTATTTGGTTTAAATTTGCTCAGTAGGATGTGTTGTTATGTATTCTCATACATTCTAGGTCAGTGAAAAAAGTCAATGCTACAAGATTAAGCCTAAAACAAAAAATGTACTGAATTCTATTCAACTTCTTTTTCAGTAGACATCTACTGTATAGGAATGCAGTTGCAGGTTTCTTTTGAGTAAGAGAACACTAGAAACTTTTAAAAAAATGAATCAATGTAATGACAGCCTTTAAAGCATCACTTAAAAAATGCCAGTCCTTTGGACTCCTTTGACAAGATGGCTCCTTCTTGAAGGTCAGCTACAAAAAAATCCATGCTAGGAGAGATCCCAACACTATTGACCTTCCATAAGGCACTAAAAACCTGGCTTTCCCTCAGGCATTTAGGCAGGATGTTAGGTAAACTCTATTGATTGCTTTGTCTGCTGTTTTTCTACTATTGATTTGCAAGATGGAAGAATCTATTTGGACTTCTGACACATGGTATATTGATCCTTGTTGTAATTCTTTTTTACTTATTTGGGATTGTTGCTGTTTTGGGATTTTAATGCACTGTCAGCCACCCAAAGTGGCAGTAGCAAATGGGTGACCATATAAATAGCTTAATAAATAAATATCTAAATATACAAATATATAATAATGGCCTCTATCCTGTAGTCCAAAATGACTCTTTGCCATACTGAAAGGTGCTTCTTTAAGTATTTGAATCCCAAACTGTTTAGCACATTAGGGATAATTTCCAATTTCTTGAATTGTGGAAGTAAATTCTATTTGACTATAGAAATTAAAATTTTGACAATCACA